AATGCAGAAAATTTTAGCCAAATTATTGAATGGATTCCTTTTGAAGGTTTTACAAATATTAAGTATATTGCTGAAGGTGGCTTTGGCACTGTTTTCAAGGCAATATGGAACGATGGATATATTATTGGATTTGATAATGAAAATAATAAATGGAAGAGAGAATCACAAATAACAGTTTGTTTAAAACGTCTCGATAATTCTAAATATATAACAAAAGAATTTTTAAATGAAGTATGAATTTTGCAATACGTTTAATTTTTACATAATTTATTCTAAATAAATGTTTATTTTAGGTTGAAAATCAACATAAATATGGAGGTAAATCAGCAATTGACATTTATGGACTAACTAAAAGCCCAAACGATAACGATTATATGATAGTTATGCAATATGCAAAGCAAGGGAGTCTCCGCAAATTATTAGATAAAAAATTTCATCAATTAACGTGGATGAATAAAATAGAAAATCTACTTCATATAGCTCAAGGGCTTGATGCAATCCATGAAGCCGGATTAATACATAAAGATCTCCATTCCGGAAATATAGTCAATGAAGATATTACTAGTTCTTACATTACCGATTTTGGTTTATGTAGGCCGGTAAACCAAGATTCAAGCTCTGGAAAAATTTATGGCGTACTTCCCTACGTTGCTCCAGAGGTGTTAAAAAATAATGGGTACACTCATAAATCAGATATTTATTCTTATGGAATAATCATGTCAGAAATTTTTGATGGATATCCCCCATATCATAATATTTCACATGGTTTAGCCCTAGTAAATGAAATTTGTGAAGGACGAAGACCTAAAATCAGACGCGAAGTTCCTAAGCTACTTCTAGATTTAATGAACGAGTGTTTAGTTGCTGAACCTCAGAATCGACCGAGTACTAAAGATTTAGTAAATAAATTAAACCAATATCGACAAGACTTAACTGATGAAGATAAATTATTATATAAACAAATTAAGAAAATTGATAACTTATCAGCTCATAATCAGCATAAATCAGGGGAACTCGATTATAAAACACAAACTACTTATAAAAGTCAAAAACTTTCTAGGTCATTGAACGCAGGTAAAACCTAATGTTATATTTTAAAAAACTGAATTTGATTGTACTGTAATTAAACTTTTTTTAAAAAAATTATTAGTGCAAGAAAGTACGCAAGATAGTAGAAATAATTTAAATTTAGAATATCAATCTTGTTACCCATAGGATGACTTACCCACCGGGCACAAATAGATTCCTCATAAATTCTATCGTATAAAAATGATTTTAAATATGTTAGCTTTTTTGCCCAAAACATAAGTTTATTTACAAATTTGATACTTCATTGCGTAATATCGCAATTTTTAAATGCTGCGTTAAATTATTATATTTTTTTATTCCCTTCTATTTTTTTTTTATTTTTATATTTTATTTTATTATATCTTTCGCAGAAATAGAGTGATATATAAAACTGAAATTTGCTTACAATTGACAAAAAACATGAGTATCTATGTTGATAGAAATTTTTGCGATTAATAAAATACGGCTATGCTGCACTAGCATAATTAGAAATAATAAGTAACGTTAGATTATTACTGTATATTAGCTGATAAATTTAAAAACTTTCTACTATAGTACTATAATCTTTTACTTTTGTTATTAATAAAACTTCACAAGAAAGGTGAATATTATTATACTATCAAAAAGTAATAATCAAAAAATCAAGGTTATTGTTAGATCATTGTAGCATTATAGCCGAACTCAAAAAATTCTTCGAAGTAAAATTTATTTATAGTTTATCGATTCGTAGCTTATTAACCAATTAAATCACAATTTGCAAATCGTCATTTATAATACAGTAAGATGCTGGTGAGAGAATACAGTACGACTGATTATGTAAAAATTACGTCAAAAATACAGCATGCTGTGAGCTACTAGTACAAAAGAATTACGCCATTGATATATCATTTTGATAATTTATACAAGATAAAAGAAAAATTATCTTGAGATGTTATTAGATAAAAATTTATATGACCAATTAATACTACATAAAAACCCTTATTTGATTATCCAATGATGCTGAAGAATTTTCAATAAAGAGCTTAGAAAAAATTATACATTCTTAGATTGCAGTAATTTGGCCTGTTAGAAATTTTGAGGAGTTACAAATCATGCAGATTAAGAAACAAATAATCTTGTTTTTGTTCAAATTATTTTTAAAAGTACAAATTTAAATTTTTAAGAATTGATGTGACAAGATTTTAAATTTTGCTCCGGTGTTATTATTCGCACCTGATTTTTTTTTTCTTTTCTAGCATTAAAGCCACGGAAGATTTTTTATTTTTTTTTCTGTCGTACATGCATTATCATACTACTATATTTACATTTTTTATACAATGAGTTTGTTATTGCTATAATTGGCAATTTATGTACAATGCACCCCCGAAGTTTGATGACAAGAGTGGCTCTAGCAGTGAACTACGTCTACAGGGAAATACAAGAAAATCACCAGAAAATCATTTTATAGAAAAGGTTAAATCTAACCAAGAAACTATCTGAATGAAACAGATAATCACTGATCATCGGATGATCACATGTTGATTATCATAATACGATTTTCAAGATAACAATTGAATTCTGACGAACAATAAGAAACACGTGGGATGCGAAAAAGACAACAACGAAGATCAATACGCCAAAGTCCAACGCAAAGAAGAAATATTTATACATTGAAGTATAAAACGTCCGACAGCAAATTAATCCGAAACAAAGAAACAAATACTAATCGTTTGCATTATTCAATAAGACCATGTGTTAACACACGATGGCAACTTTTATAGTTTATTTTCACGATTAGAAAATAATAGCTTATACGATAGTATTATAACAAAATAGAAACAAAATAGTTAGCTTATTCTAACAATGTATTTGAAAATTGATTGTTTGGAAAGTATTTAAACACTCGATTTTTACCTTTAAGAAACTTTGTAGTGTGAGATAGCAAGCGTGCAATAGAAAATAACAAAGTGCAAAGAAACCAAAAATCCCTAAATACCCAAATATCTATTGATTAGATATAAGAAACCCTTAATGACTTTAACCCATATATTAGAAACCCATAGCGATTCAATAGCAATATTTATTCTTGCAATATTATTAACTATAATAACAACACCGCTCATATTAATAGCTTTAATAGCAAGCCAAACTATTATTTATCAAAATTTATAACTCTTGACTATATTATTAAATAAAAAAACCATATTTAACAAATAAACCAAAAGTATCTCATACAAACATAAAACATACTTTTATAACACAAATGTATAAAGAAACTTGAACAGAATTCTTAACTGAAATATCTTAATTATATTCAATAACAAAGAAGGTTAACTCTAGTGAATAAAGAGACTAGAACTTCTTGTGAATACTAGGATTAGCTACCTAGAATACACATATACTATTGAATAATAATACAAGTAATCTTTAATATATGAAGAAACTTTACATAAAAATCAATATTAAAATACTTATCTTCATACTCATAGTATCAATATATCTAAGAAATGTATTATACCAAATAGTAATATCTATACCTATTATAATATCATCTCTGACATCTACATTAGTAACATCAACAACTACAGTAACCACTCCAATGCCAAGCTCAACAATTCCAAACCCAACTAAAACAGAAATATCTATAACCAATACTGTGACGCCAGATAATAATCTTCTTACAATAATTGAAATATCAGGAACTATATTAACTATAGTATCTACTATCATAACAGTGATCATCCTCTGCATTAGAAGAATTAAAAGAAAATGAAGAAACAATAAAAATAAAAATAAGGAATTACCTATTTCAAGACCAACAAAAATACTGATGATATTACCAGAACCTACACCATTCATAAGACCACCTCAAAGTAATCTATTACAACAAGAAATAGACCAATTAGCCAGAAATATAAAGCAATGCCAATTTAATGGCATAGGAACAGGATTGTCTACGAAACCAAATAGAAAAGAGAAATTCAAACAAGTTCAAACACCTTTACAATTAGAATATTCAAGTAGTGATGATTGGTATAAATACGAATCATCTAGCCAAGGAAATTATTAAAACTATTGAATGATACCAACACGAAAACAATCTGCAATAATCACAACAATATCATTTATTTTAGGAATTATTCTTACTATTATCCTCCTTAAAGAACCAACGAATATACAAACCACTATAGCAATTGTAATACTAGCTATAACAGTAATATCTGGAATAGGAATAGTATTATTCACCATTTTGAAACCAATTAATAACAACAATCCAAACTAAAAATCCAAGTATAATAATCTGCAACAATTCTATACTCTAACCATCTGCATCAACAATACTATTAATTTTGATATTCACAATATTATTGTGGATACTTACTATAATTATTATTTGCTATATACAACAACATGATAAGAAATGTCTATATAAACAACATCCAAATGTAGCATATTATCAACAAGATCAAACATCCGGCTGTTGTTAATTCAATGACAACTACTGAAACACCAATACCTCAACTTGACACCACAACTACTATAATTATAACTGCAACTATCATAGAAATATTTGTAATAATATCAATAATTATTTCAGTAATTATTTACAAAACTTGTCATAAAAAGAAACTACATCAAAGAAATTATCAATGAAATCAAGAATTTATTACAAGAAGGATCCAAGACTACCGAAATAATCAACCACCACAAATACCAGAAACTAACAATAACAAAAACTACATTATTTGATTTCTCAACCTTATAACTATTAAATGTTTTGTATCTTTAATAAGAAAAGAAAACAAAGAAGAAATAGATATAATAAACAAAAAAGAAATGCAATATATCAACCCCAAAATAATTATTTAGAACCTAACTTCAACGAAATATTCACATTATTTGGAGATAAAAGAAGAAACTAAATAAAACTATTATTGTTAATCTTATTATTAATGACACTAGTTGAAGGACAACAATTCGAACTGTTCACCATAAATATACCTACAGTAATAATTACAGAAATAATTACAGCAATACCAACTACAATCATCGAAACTATAATTGGAACCCAAGTAATAACCCAAACTGAAACACCAAACTACTTTAATGATACCAACGTTATAAACCAAGACATAATTATAGTAATAGCAATTACAATAATTGCTGGAGTAATAATATTTGTAAAATATCAAGCTAGAATTAAGAAGAAAACTAATATTGCAGATAACTATATCAACAATACACTTCGACAAGGAGAAATTGTTACCAATACAATAACTCCTATAGCAACAAATGTCTAACAAAAGATATTGCTTAAACAAAGAAAATGAATCTTGTTATATATTCAAAACCACTGACGAAATACTTGAAGAACTAGAAAGACAAGAAAAACAAGAAAAAGAAACTAAATACATTCAACTTTCTAAAGAAGAAGAAAAGATTTATTCACAGAGCAAAGTGATAATTGACAAAAGAAAATCAACTGAATCAATGATAATAAAAGCATATATTATCAATTCAATAAGAAACGAAGAACCAGAAGAATATATCAGAAACATTGCAGAAGTTTATCAACAAAACCTAGAAAACTGACAGATATCAAATATATTGTCAAATACAATAAAACCAACAAAATATAAAACTACAATAAGGAGTTGCCAAACTTAAAGAATTTGAATTAAACCTTTGGCTACAAAAATACTCTTTTTCAGAAAACAGACTTGAAACCAAACGAGCTTACCATACATTATTTAAATCATACATAAGCCAACAAGAAGCAGAATTTCCTATGTTATCAACATCAGACAGAAACCAGATTAATAGAATAATCAAGAAACACGATAATAAACACTTCGAAAAGAAAAACAGAATCTTTACTGGCAAAATAAAATCTAAGAATTACCTACAAACAGAAATATTTGACTACTTGAAATACGGTCACATATTAAATCAACC